TTGTTGATTTTACTTAGTTACGGAGTTGGGTCTTAATTAAGCCCAATTATTATGTCTTTTACTTAGTTAGGTGTTTAGGAAACTCATTAGGGAGTTGGGCCTTAATTAAGCCCAATTATTTTATCTTTAAATAGAGGTTATGACTCTATGTACGAATCCTTGTTTTTCTTTTCCCGCAATTTTTTAGAATTACAAGTCTTTATTTTAAATTCTTTCCTTTATTTTCGTCTCTCTACCTTCCATCTTTTCATATTTTCTGGTTTTGGCCAAAGCAAACATGATCATGAAGCAAGGCTAATCCATCAATTGGTTCAAGGTTTCAAGAACAACATTGCATTTGAGTTTCGGGTTAGGTTCTATCGAATTCGCGCTTTTCCTCCTCTTTTCTGATTAGGATAATTATGTTTTTCATTATATTGATTTTTCGTTTGCATTCTAAACAGAGAATGAGAATTTCAGATTTGAAATAAATGAATTCACCTAATTCAATAAATCAATTATTCTGAATTTTGTTAGAGCATTGGATTTGCGATTGCAGTTCTTGTTTTGATGAAATTCATAATCTAGATTTAGATTTTGGGTTATTAATGTCGTATTGAATTAGTGTTGATTGGAAATTTGTTGGAATTATATTCGTGTAACAATGAGAATTGCGTTGTAGTGATTAAGATCTTGATTTGGTTGAATTTCATATTTCGTTTCGTTAGAATTATTCTTTGTTCTTTTCTTTTCTGTTTACAATTTAATTCAAAACAATCCATCCCTAAACTAATATGAAATTACATGATGGAACCAAAAACAGAATGTATCTTATGTCCTTGTGAGATGACCTAGGTTTACTCCTTCTATTGCAAAATTTTTAAGAAAATCTAGTTTGTTTGATACCATTGCGACGTAGTTATCAGTGTCACCAATAAGGCAGACTGAATTGCTCTTATTCAAACCTTATACTTCTTCTTTCAAGTGTTTTAAGACCAAATACTTTAAAGTAACCATTGACCCTATTGTCGACAAAAAATACTTTTTTGATAGTGAAAATAGATCCCTTTTCCCTTTCTATTAGACCCGGGTTCCTCGTCGATACAATGTTTATCCAGAAGAGATGCTAAACTCAGAGGAGTTATCAACTTTAGAATATTTAAAATCTCTCCTCTGGGAACTCCCTGCCCGAGCACTGATCCTCTTGCCAAAATCTCCTAAGCCTCGCTTAGATTTAGAGGGTATGCATTATTTTATTCTTTATAAATTTGAAGGATAAGTTATGATTTGACTTCTTGTCTTTTGTTGTAGGCATAATGGCACAGAGGGGAGCCAGTTTATCTTATTATCAGGCTTTGAGGTGCCGAGTTCCTGCGAGGACTTCAGCTGAAGAACACTGATATCCTTAACTGGATGTGGTGCCTGAGCTAACCGAGGCGCGTCCTCCCCCTAGATTTCCCTTTGCCAGAGGGTCACCCAAAAAAGAGAAAAAATAAGGGCAAAAGGAAAGAGTCTGAAAAGGAGCGCTAGAAAAAACATGCCCGTACCGAGCCCTCCAGGCGTATTTCCTCTAAGTTAGGTAGCTCTTTAACCTAATCCGTTGTTCATCCAATTGTGATGATAGATAATTTCTTCGCCGAAGGAGTTAGGGCCAGCAAACTTGTATCCCCTAACCTCTTATCTGAAACCGAGAGGGCCGTTGCGAATAAAATAGATAATAAGTCTCGATGAGAATAGTACTGTGAGCTACAGACTTGAGCCATAGTGATGGCGCGCAGCTTGGCTTTGGAGCTTTTACTTCAGCTTGAGAAGGTCCAAAGCCAATTCTCTACATTCCAGAAGGCTTTGGCAAAGAGTTAAGAGGTTCGGTCGAATCTAGCCGATACCAACAAAGCACTGGAGGTTGAAGTAGCTCAACTAAAGGAGCACCTCAATATTATGGAGGATTGGATGCGTGCTGTTGAAGGTTGAGCTGTAGCTGTCAAAGAGGCCTAAAGGGCGAAAGGTCTGGAGTTGGCAAATGCTTTAGCAAGGGAAATGGGCAATAAAGAGAAGACTAATGCTAACATGAAGTCATTCGTGATTGAGTGTTAGGAAAAAATTATTGTCGAGCATGAAGCAGGCTTTCAGCATGCCATTAGGCAAATAGTGCAATGTTGTTAAGTGCTTTCTGCCTTTCACTTCGACACGATGAAGGACTTCTTTCAAGGGAAGTTTCTAAGTTATGACGAGGTGGCCGATGATGTTGAGGTTGACGCCCTTGCTCCATGTCAGGCTCAACTGGAAGCTACCGAAGGGGCCACAACCCAAAACAAAGATGACCGGGTTGATGAGGCTGTGATGAATCAGAATCAGAATCGGGAGGGGCATTAAAATGAATAACACTGAAAGGGAAGGGGGTTTTTTTGTTTCTTTTTCTTATAATTTGTGTATATCCTGGGCTGTTAGCGTCCATTTTTGTAATGTCGTGACCTTTCTAGAGCCTTTTTTTTTAATGCAATAGACTTTTTTTCTATACTGCTTGTGTTTGGTAATTTCAAAAAATGATGCTCAAAATGAACAAGTTAAAGCTTATTAGTAACCATAATAAGCATTGAAGACTTGTCATTTTTTATCTGAATAAGGTATATGATAGTAAATATGTTGATAAGTACTTAACCCGGATAAATAGTTAAAAATTACATTTTAACCGAATTGATTATAAGGTATACGGTAGCAAATAATCATGTTGTTTTAATCTAAGCAATGTTACTAAATTTTGCCGAGAGAGATTGTTGACAAAAGAAAATTAGCATAAGTCTAGATATATTAATTCGGGTGTGTAATTGAATCAACTTGAGCCGAATAAGGTACTTTGGGAGGGAATATTTAATTCAACCTTAGCCGAGTGAGGTACTCAGAAGGGAATATTTGGTTCATAGTTAAAAATAAGAACATGTCTTGTGAGTAAATAGAATCTTTGATGAAGTGCCTCGTTAAAAACCTTATCTGGAAAACCTCTTTTCACGTTCTTTTAAGAGGACAAAACTCGAGTGAGGAAAAGAGTGCACTGAGTTTACAAAGTACAATTGCTAACTAAAATAATACTTAAAATGTGATGTATTCCAAGTCCTCAATATAACTTTACCCTCAAGGGTCTCGAGTTTGTAAGATCCATTGTTTAAACTAGCTAATACCCGAAAAAGTTCATCCCAATTGGCAGCAAGCTTTCCTTCTCGTCGATCATGACACGCTTCACCGATTGTCCTCCATACTAAATCTTTGGTTTGAAACTGTCTCAGCTTGAGTTTTGAATTATACTTCCACGACATCACCCTTTTGCTTGCTTTGGTCATGATAATGGCCTGGTCTCAGACTGTCTATGAAGTCTAGGTGGGTACTTAAAGAGAGATAATTTGCTTCTTCTTCGAAGTGTTGTCGTTGAAAAGAAGGTTCATCAATCTTGACTAGGACCATGGCTTTGGTTCCATAGGTCAATTGAAAAAGTATTTATTTTGTAGTGGTTTAGGGAGTGCACTGATATGCCCAGAGGATTTCAGGTACCTTCTTGGCCCATTCTCTTTTTGCTGAGCCTAAGCGTTTTTTAAGTTCATGAAGGATAACCTTGTTCATTGCTTCGGCTTGACCGTTACTTTGAGGGTGCTCGACCAAAGTGACCCAATGTTTTATATAAAGTCCTTCTAAAAGCCATTGTTAGTGACCAAGGTATTTGGTATGCCAAACCGTGTGATGATATTCTTCCAAGTGAATTTTTGAACGTTGTTGGTCGTGATAGTGGTTAGTGGTTTGGCTTCAATCCACTTGGTAAAATAGTCGACTGCTAGGATTAGGAATTTGTACTATCCTTTGGCTGGGGGAAATGGGCCCAGTAAGTCCATTCTCCACATAGCAAAAGGCCAAGGTGAGGCGATCGAGTGGAGAGTCTTAGCAGACTGATGTATGAGTGGACCGTGTTGTTGACATGGAATACATCTTTTGACAAAGAGATCCCACTTCTTAGCCAGTGTCGGCCAATAATACTCTGCTCTTAGCACCTTTGCTGCCATTGCTTGTCCTCCCAAGTGGGTTCCACAGATGCCCTCATAGATTTCTTTCATGACATAATTAAGCTACTTTTCACTGAGACATTTCAACAGCGGAGTTGAGATCCCTCTTTTATACAATTCTCCGTCGACGGGGGTATATTTAGCTGCTTGTATCCTAAGGTGTTTGGCTTGGTTCAGATTGTTTAGGAGTTTATTGGCGACAAGATATTAGACGATGTCTGTCATCCAATTCCAATATGTTCCTTTGACTTCCATACATTCATGACCCAAAATGCTCGGCTTACTGATTTCTTACTACATCATGCTTTGGAATTGTCCCGGCTTTTGATGACTAGCAAATTTTGCTAGCATATCGGCTTGTTAATTTAGATCTCGCGGAGTGTGGCAGACATGTACCTCATCAAATTCATGGTGTAACCATTTAAATTCTTGATAATACTGCAACATGATGGGGTCCTTGACCTGATAAGTGTCATTAACCTACTCAACAACCACTCAGAAGTCGCTCCAATATGTAATTATTTTGACACCGATCTCCTTTACTAATCTGAGACAGGCAAGCAATGCTTCATATTTGGCCTAATTGTTAGAAGCTTTAAAGCTGAATCGTATTAATTGTTCCAATGTCACCTTATTCGGTCCCTCTAAGATGACCCTTGCTTCATTGCCATGAAAATTTGACGATCTGTCAACATGTAAGTTCCACATGCCACTGGTAGGCATTCTCTAAGAATGAAATTCGTTAATAAATTCTGTGAGGATCTGGGCTTTGAGAGATCTGCGAGCCTAGAAACAGATGTCGAATTGAGACAACTTCACCGCCCATGCCATCATCCGTCCAGCCAGTTCTGGTTTATGCAATACTTTTGTGATTAGACTATCAATTCGTACCACTATCTGGTGGCATTGGAAGTAGTGTCTGAGTTGTCGTGCCATATGAACCAATGCTAGAACTACTTTTTCCATTAATTAGTATCATGTCTCGACATCATGTAGTGTTCGGCTTATGAAGTAGACAGGTACCTGCTCTGGCATCTCTTGTAGGAGGACCAAGCTAATGGCATTGTCTAATATTGCAAGATAGACGATCATGTCCAAATCAGGCTTAGGCTTGGTCAATATGGGTGGTGTTGCTAAGATGGTCTTAAATTGTCTAAAAGCAGTTTCACAATTTTTGGACCATTTGAATTTCTGTGCCTTTCTAAGGAGATCTGCAAATGGTTGTGTTTTTTCTGCCATCTTAGGAAAAAATTGAGATAGCGTAGCTATTCGACAACTGTTGCAGTTCTTTGACAGAATGGGGACTGCGCATATTGATAACGGCCTGACATTTGTTTGAATTTACTTGAATTCCTCTTTCTAAGAACATAAAGCCCATAAACTTTCCTCTAGATATGCCAAATGTACATTTTTTGGGGTTAGAATGCATTCCATACCTTCTTGCTTCCAAAAAGACTTCAGTCAAATTCATCACATGTTCATCTATTGCCATGGACTTGACAACAATGTCATCCACATATACTTCCAAACACCCCCCGAGCTGCTTAGTGATACTTTTATCCATTAGCCTTTGGTATGTTGCGCTTGCATTTTTTAATCCAAATGGCATAATCCAATAGTAGAAATTAGTTGACTTAGTGATGAAGGATGATTTTTTTCATCAAGTGGGTACATCCTGATTTGATTATATCCAGAGTAAGCACCTAGGAAACTGAGGAATTTGTGTCCTAATGCTCCGTCCACTAAGGCATCATTGTTAGGCAGGGGATAGGCATCTTCGGGGCATGCTTTATTCAGGACCGTGAAGTCAATGCACATCCTCCACTTTCTGTTTTCTTTTTTCACCATCACAACATTGGCTAACCAAGTTGAATATTGCACCTCCCAGATAAAGCCTGCCATTAGTACCTTATCAGTCTCCTCCCGAACAGCACAGGCTTGATCACCTCCCATCTTTCTCTTTTTTGGGCAATCAGTTTGGCACCTTTATATACTAACAAACGATGACACAAGAAACCAGGATCTATCTTGGGCATATCCGTTACCGTCCATGCGAACAACTTGACATTGTCAAGTAGTACCTTTTGAATTGCTTCTTGTTTATCTTGTGATAACTCGGCTCCTAGGTATGTGACTTGTTCATGCATTTTTCCTAACTGGAAGGATTTCTTTTCCTCATTAGGCTCAACCTGAAACCCTTCGTTCATTCTTGGATTGAGTTCCATGTCCAAGAGGTCTACTCCTACCCGAGGAGAGACTATATTGACGTCCCTACTCAAATTAAGCAAGGGCTTTAGGCACAAACTTACAAAATAACACTCCCTAGCAAGCTTATGATCTGCATGGACGGTTATGATTCTACCTTTGTCCAAAGGGAACTTCATGGCGAGGTAGGGAGTAGGTACTATGACTTTCAATTTATTGACGGAGGGACACCCGAGCGATATGTTATACGAGGTGTTTGCGTGAACCACCAGGTAAGTTACCTTAATGCCCTTCGCTTCCCGTTTAGAACCGAAAAGGGTATACAAGTCTATGCATCCACATGTCTCCACTCTTTCCCCTAAAAACCTGACAAACGACTCATTATATTCTTTTAACTCCTCTTCAGGTATACCAAATTGCTTGAAACTATTCCAATATAGGATGTCTGTCGAACTCCCTTGGTCGATTAGGATTTTTCAGACAGTGCAGTTGTGGATATCAACACTTATGACCATAGGGTCATCCTGTACCAGGTCAATTCCTTGGAAATCCCTATCCGTAAACATTATAGGTGGGATTCAAACTCTGCTCCCTAAGGAAATGTTCACTGACTAAACATGTCTCAAATGTCTCTTTTGAGTCGAATTGGTGGATATTCCTTCTACAAACCCTCCTACTATGGTGTTAATAATACGACGAGGTGGATTCTTGTGTTCATCACGATACTCTTGGGGTCGTTCCCTTGATCTACTGCATTGTCGTTTTGCTTTTCTGTCATTACGCCATCTAAATGGCTTGACCCATTGGTCTTTTCTCTTCTCTGCTGGCCTATGCACAAAACCTTGTAGATGTCTCGCTTTTATCATATCTTCGATGCGATCCTTAAGGGTTGTGTATTCTTCGGTGGTATGTCTCCAATTTTGATGATACTGACACAACTTGGTTTTGTCTGCCCAAGGGGGGGTGTTTGCATGCTTAGGATAGTTAATATCTCTGTTGCTAAGGCCTGCTCAAGCACTCTAGACTGGTTAGCATTTAGTGTTATGTAATTTGCGTATCTTGGCCCCCTTGGTAGGTGTTAAACTCTATATTTTTAGTCTTTATTCCCCTGTCTGGTCATCGAGTGGTCTTCTCCTTCATGGTCTTTTCTGCCGGACACTTGTTCCATTAGAGCCTGGTTGCAAAACTCATTCAGCTCTTCTATCTATATGCAACGTAGTTCATCTAAGTCAGCAGGTGGTTTTTTGCATATATTATTAGTGAGTGGGCCTAAGAGCTATTGTGAGGTGATGCATTGCGACTGCTAGATTCAAGTTCTAGATGGAAATGGTCACTTTTCCAAAGCACTCCATAAATCCTTTAAGTGTTTCCTTCTTCTCTTGTCAGATATTAACCAAAGCCACCGAAGTTAACTGATGAGGATGACTGATAGCAAATTATAGATTGAAGCGTGTGACCAGCATTGCGAACGACATAATGGACGTTGGTGGCAGTTTGGTGAACTAGTTAAAGGCTGACTCCCGAAGTGATGTTGGGAATATCCAGCATAGCAAGGCATCATCGTCAGTATAAAGACCGATTTGGGTGGTGACTATGTCAACATGTTCCTCCGGATCGGAAGTTTCATCATATTTTTCCAACATTATACCCTTTCAGGTGTCTGGTAATTTTGCTTCTAGAATTGATTAGGGAAAAGGACTACGACTTGAGATTCTATCCCGTCTGACCGTGGGGCTAGTCCTTGTTTGCTGTTGGATAGTTCCTAGCTTCTTTTGTAGGATTGAGGATTCTTATTGCTCTTGAATGAGAGATGTAACTTGGAACGGGATATAGGTTATAATTTCACTTCTTAAGTTAGCATTTTCCCTTCTCAAAGCTGACAACTCAAGTGCATCCCTTTCCCAAAGACGTTACATCTCCATCATTTTGTGCTTTAGGTGTCTTACTACTAAAGAGAGGTCCTCGTCTTCTCCCCTCTCAACAACAACTTCTGGTGTGGATTGATTCTATACATATCCTTCATGCTGATGTGGCATTCCTTATGGCTGATTAGGGCCTTCTTGTTGACTCCTTGTCAGCACCATATCTGCTTGAGGTTGAGGCAATTCGGGCCCCACGATGGGTGCCAAAATATTTCTGTTAAGGATACACTCATTTTCTGTAGTCTCCTTTCTTTTCCTCTAATATGACATCCTTATAAAATATTCAATATTCTCCTCTGCTGTGACGTGGGGCAGGGTACTTGCAAAGACACTCTGATGGTGAAGTCAGTGTTTGCTATAAGACAATAAATGCTATTTAATCTTCTGAAGTCAACCCTTTTACCAATACTTCTTATCTTCCTTTTATAGACATGATATTGGGCTTCTGGGCTTCATTGTTCATCCTTGTCTTATCCTTCTTGATTACTTAGATAATTAGCCCTTTCCTTATTAATTATCGATTATTAATCTTTAATTCACTTATTAACTTATTTTGATATGACCGAAGGAGTGTGAGTACCCTTCGTCCTGAAATATGATCGAAGAGGTGTGAGTATCCTTTTGTCTTGAAGTGTGGCCAAGGAGGTATTCGTTTTCCTTTATCTTTGGTAATAACCGAGTAGTGTTCTTATCCAGTACACACTTGATGAAATATTTTGATGATATAAAGTGATATGACACAAAGGAGATAATTTTTTAAGGTATGTTTGTGAGGTAATTTTTGGAAGAGAAAAGAAGGAAGGATATATTTTTCTAATTTTAAATTAAAAAATTATATAATTTTTACTATAATAAATGCATGATGAATACATAAAATTTATATTAATATATATCACTTATTTAAAATATAATAATTTAAAATATATTTAGTTAAAATACAAAATTTATTTTTCTCTCTTCTTCTCTAAAACCTTCCATTCCAAAACAATTCATTAATAGCATATTTTCATTGCTATAAAAATAATAAATTTGTATAATTTATTTTATGTACAAAACAAAATGAATTAACTTCTTTAATTAATTTATTTTGTACTTAGTAACAAATTCAAGTATAATATTGGTTTGCTTTATTGAATCTCCTTTTTATTTATAATATTGGTTTGCTTTATTAATTTTCCTTTTTATTTATATATTTTATTTCTCGAAGCTTTTGCAATTCAAAGGGCAAAATGATTCTATTGGCTTTACGTATCATGCTTGATTGAGCAATTTTGATTTAATTATTTTGATGAGCATGTGATAACATTATTTGACACAAGTTGCATAGTTATGTTTGATTTGTTCAATTTTTGTTCTTTTATTTTAATAAAAATGAAAAATAAATAAAAAATAGAAAATAGAAGAGAAATAAATTTTAGAAAATATTTTTTTGAAAATATTTTTAAAATCCAATCCAAATTTGAAAAAAAAAATGTTTTCAAGCTCTTTTTTAAAGATGAAAACACTTGAAAATGAGAATTATAAACATCATCTAATTTTAATTAGATCCTGTGATATTTATTAACTCATATTTTACTTTATCTTTTGTCTTTTACACTTAAGTGTTACTTGTTATTGGTAATTTTTTTTCTTTTTTCTTTTATTTTTTGTTCACACTTATTCTTCCTCGTCTATTTTTTTTTTCTCTTCTCCCATAATTTTTTTCATTGAAATTTAGTGATATAGTTTCTTACTTTCTTTCACTATTCTTGCAAGGTATATAATGTGTTTTTTTTCTCTGTTCTTTTCTTTTTTTTAATTTTCATATTATTATTTTTATTGAAATTTTGGCAAACATTATTTTTTATATTTCTACGTGTGAGTTTTTCAATTTTTGTATAATTTTGATGTCATTCTCTCCTTAGAACATGTTCAATTTTTTTTTCTTACTAATAAACTTGTTCAATTTTCATATAATTACATTGATTGATCTATATATAAAATGTGTTGGTTAATAAAAATTGAAGAAAATTACTTTTAATATTAGCAAGACTATATATATATATACATACTCTTTTCTTATTTTATTTTATTTTTATACTTGTAGTTGTCATTTAAATTTTTTTATATATTTATATTTTAATAATAATTTTTGGAATGTAAGAATACACATGCATTAATATTTATAATTAAATAAGTAAAAATTGAGAAGAGTATATAATTTTTAATTTTTCTTAAACCTATTTTTATTAAAATTAATAAATATATACAAAATTAATAAATTTATATTTAAAAAACTGTTCATCACATAGAATCTAAATTATAATTATATTTATATTATTTTTTAGTCTTACGATGTAATAATGATACAATTTAAACTTGTTAAAAAAATAGTGCAATAAAAATTGCCAGTAAGGATATATATTATAAATTTTTTATTATAAATTTTTTTATTAATAAAACATTAATGGTTAATTTTGAAATTTATATAAAAAATAGATAAACTCATTATAGAAAAAAAGTTAAACTAAATAAATTTTCAATATTTTTTATTTTTGAAAATAAAAAATAAAAAGTCAAACTAAACACATTTTTTAAAATTTGAAAATTTGAACATAAAAATTATTTTAAAAAATGAAAATAGAAACAAATGTTTCATGAAACTAAACAGGCTTTACATTTATCTACAGACTTACATTTGTAGACAAGAATTAAAAACATAATGGAAATGAAAATAATATCTTTTTATTTGATTTTTAACTCTACAAATAGCACAATTTAATAAAAAAATTACAAATAATCCTAAAATTTGTATTACTAGTTAATACTAACTTAGTAGAAATAGAATTGTGTTTTTTTATATTTTTTTCAGTTTCATTATTATTGCACACTTTACAAAGTTGATTGTATCATATAGATATTCCTTCAACACAAGTTATTGAAAGAATTTCAAAGACCCACCAACACATAAAAGCTCATATTTTTTTAGAAAAGAAAGATTTTTATTTGAAGGGTGCATAATCACGTGGATAAACTCAGACTAAACTGTCAAATTGGGATCTAATTTAAAAAACTTCAATGGTTTTTTTACGATCATGTGAACAGTAGAAATAGATGGCACAAGTCATCATTAACTAATGTGTGCTACCTCTATCTCTTTTTCTATCAATTTATATCTTTTTTTTTTTAGCATTGTCGGTTTCATTCTTGCTGATAATAATAATATATAATAAAAATATAATTCTTGTAAATTTTTTCTCATACACCCGATGAAAAGGATTAAAGAAAAAGTTTTCTCAAATCGCTATATTTTCTTCTTATATTTGATTCACTTTGCAATGCCAATAGTTAGTAAATTAAACTTGAGTATGCGTTGCAAAAGTTAAACTTGTTACCCATAACTTATTATTAAAAAATATTTTAAAATGTATGATTTGAATTAAGAGCATATGTTAGTTTGTGTTAAAGTGTTTTTATATGGAGTACATAGTTGCTTTTCAAAGGCATTTTTAAGCAAAAAATTTGTTTTACTCGTATATGTTTGTTTGGTCATGTGAAATTTAGATCTTAAACTTTTGAAAGATACAATTCACTGTCTTGTGCCTACCAATATGTGCAAACAGTCATTTCATTGTTAAGACATTCAAATTCTTTATTTTTTGGACAAAAAATACCCTTGAATGTCTATTTTCTCTCTCTTCGCAACAATTGACAATCTTCTTGTTCATCTTCTTTGCCAGCAAGGGAGCTTTTTTGCTAATGAAGTATTATTTGACCAAAAGATGGACATATTCTATGGACAAGTTTCAACGACAATGCATAGTGAAGATGCATATAAAATGGGTAAAATATTGACGCCTTCGACCATATGTAATAAGTGGAAAAAAAAAGGAGTTTGATTAAGTTTTTAGGAATTAGGAAAGTGACAAAAAATTGGATATAGCCATTAGAAACACGGGGTTATA